TCAGTGGGCATTCTTGAAACACGCATGAGAGAATCCACACCCTTCACTCTGTCCCCACCCAACCCCGAGTTTCACACCTTTCCTCTGAGAGGTGTTCTTAGCCCCTCCCGGCTGAGAGTCAGTGCTCCCACCGGGTAAACAGCTTGTAGCATGGGATCATGTGCGACTTCTTAGCGTGACGGGACTTGAAAAATAAAGAATTCATGAAAACCGTCCGTGTCTCCTGGGGAAGACACTGCGTTCACAGATCCTAGGGGATTCGTTCTGGCAGGGCAGGGCTGAGAGGACCGTCCAGGCTGTCTGCCTCCACTTCTCCTTCCTGGGTGTGGACAGATACGGTCCACAGTGAAGTGGGGAGACTGGCCCTACAAACGGAGGGCCAAGTCTTACGAGGGCTGAGAGTGGGCAGCACTGGGTGAGGGCTCGTACCTAAGGGGAAAGGGCGCACTGAGAATTCAAGGAAGACGTTTAAGGTCACGGCACGTGGACTGGCTCTGCAAATGTACATAGGAGCTTGCAGAGCTAGGAGGAGACAGGGACGTCTCTAGAGGGAGAAACGTGAGTGTCGCATCTTCTGGCAGGTGCTGTGAGACGTTCTCAGCAGAACAGACTTTATCCTGAAAGCAGCGTGAAGGAAGGCGTTAAGGAGTTGCAGAACCAGAGGTGTGACGTCATTGGGATTATTCCTGTAGCGTCCAGGCATGAGGTTGGGTCTGGAGTAGTCTTCCTGATTCTCTCCCTCATGGGTAACTAACTTAGTTTTCTGAGATCCTGGAAGATTTCTTCTGTGTCTTTGTCATGTTGGATATCCCCTCCTCCCCACGCCCCTTTCTCAGGTAACCTGCGCACTTAGATCATTTGTGGTTCAAGGTCATTTTCTTCTGTTATTGATCTAATGGTTTCCTCACATCCGTTTTTCCTTTGCTTCCTTCTGGACTCCAATTGCATCTCATGTTTCATTCTGTCTCTTTATCTTTCCTTGAGGACTTCTTCCTTTCTCTTCTGTTGTGATGTGTCTCCCACGAAACTGTTTGTATCTAACAGTGACCATCTTCTTACTCATTCTGCGTTGTGTGTTCATGGTTGCCTTAGGAAGCTGCCCTTCTGGGTTTCAGAAAACGGGGTGTGTGTGTGCATGTGTGCGTCCGCGTGTGTGTGCGTGCGCGGGTGTGTGCGTGTGTCTCTCAATGACTGCTGTTTAAGGCTGTTTTCCTTCGTTGAAGGTGTGGGTTCCTCCAGGGCTTTGTCTGACCAAGTGTCTGAGCTTTCCTGCAGCTGCTGGGACGCTGGGGTGTGTGGAGGTGCTTGCTGGTTTGCTGGGTCAGATAAGGACATTGCGGATCCGCGGAGGTGGACTGAGGGAGATGGAGCCTCTCTCCAGGTTCATTCAGCTCTGGCCAGCAGCAGGTGGCTGCCACGCCGTCTCCACTTCTCCCAGGAGGGGCACCTTCCTACTTGCTCCCTGTTTCAGGAGTCAAAGGCGTTGGCTCCTCCGATCAAACTTGTTCTCCATACTTGCTGTCAGCTGGACTTGAGGCTGAGGTCAGTCTTTGGGGGTCATTGAGGGCTGCCCCTCCCACCATGGGTCCCTGCCCCTGGGCACTCTGCTCTTTGCGGGCAAATTGGGTCTGTTGCCTGGACCCAGGGAGGACGGCCCTGAGTGGCCTCTGACTGCGGTAACTCCACAGAGCTGAAGCCTGACCAGGTCTGTCTACACCAGGAGCTGGGTGCCTCAGGAGAGGGAGGGGCGGAGCTGGGTGCCTCAGGAGAGGGAGGGGGTGAGCTGGGTACCACAGGAGAGGGAGGGGCGGAGCTGGGTGCTGGGTGCTGTTTTCCCAGGAGTCCCTGAGTTTCTCAAGGGGGGTCTGATTCCCAGGCTGGGGGCTTATTAACCGGGAAGGCGTTCATTCAGTGCTCGGGACGCATGGTCATTCAGCTGACAGCCCGGGGCCTCTCCTGCACACCGTGTTTTAAGAAAGAGTGATCCAGGGGTAGGGGGAGCGACCGTGAGACCCGCCCAGGAGTCGCAGTGAAGCAGTGACACACGTTTTGTGTGTGTGAGGACACACACCGATGGCTGCCACCTTGACGCTTCCTTTAAAACAAGGCCAAGAGCTTGATGCCTACAGAACGGGGATGGTTTAGGAATGAGCATTTGGGTTTTATAGAAATGGAGACACTTCAAAGCTGGTGTTTGAGTTTTGTGTTTAAAACAGCGGCCACTTCATGTAGAAAGAGTACACTAGCTCTTGACAGTTCCTCGTAACCACTCGTGCAGGTGGAGCATCTCATGGGTCCAGTGTCTTTTCTGAGACCTGTTGTAAGCTTTTGTATTTATTCTTGGAGAAATGGGTCATGGGAGGGGTGGCCAGAGAGCTTCTCCCGAGGCCCCATGAGCAGGGTTTTCCTTCCCTGCGGCCGCGGCTCGTCTCGGTGCCGAGGTCACCACTTTCCTGTGGTAGGGAACTGGCCGTCCAGGAAGCACTCACGCTGCCTGCTGTGGAGACAGCGTGTTTGTACGACCCTGGCCTGTTCTTTCATCGTGTGCGTCTGGCCAGAGCAGTAAGGGAGTGTTGAGGCTGGTCATAAACCCCCTGGACCTGTGAAAGCCCTGCTGTATTTCTGCAGGGGGAGGCAGCGTTTCCCTCTGAATTCTTCCTTCCTGGCCTCGGGCACTGCCGAGGGCTCGGTGCCCTGGAGGTGCAGTCATCCTTGGCAGAGGGCAGTGCTAATGGAGAAAATGAGCTTTAGTTCTTTTCTGTGAAATCTGAGTGGCGAGAGCACAGGGAAGCTGAGGGGCTGGGCGGATGGTTTCCCTGTGAGTGGCGCTCCTGTGTCACCTTGTCCTGCAGTGGCGGTGAGAGCCTGCTGAGCCCCTGGCGCCCAAACACCTTGCCCTTCCTCAAGAACTGGTGTTCTGTGAAGATGAGGGAGGAGAGAGGAAGTGAGGGGAGGGGCCCCCAGCGGAAGCGGCTGCTGCTGAGTTTACTCCTGCACAAGGTTCCCAGTCAAGTGTCTGGGAGGCACAGGTGGCGGCTCAGAGTGAGCGCCTCCCGCAGATCTGCCCAGTCAGCCAGCGCCTCCCCACCCCTGGCTGAGTTCTGGGAGAGGATGTGGGAGTGTAGAGGAACTGACCTTATTTTAAAGTTCTAACTTTTAAGTTTTTTTTTAGATTTTTTCATTAATTTTGGAAGAGTTGCAGAGAAGAGGAGGCAGAAGCGGAGAGGGAGGGAGTCGGGGCGGGGAGAAGGAGAGAGATATCTTCCATCCACTGGTTCACTTCCCAAATGGCTGCAGTGGTCAGGGCTAGGCCAGGCCACAGCCAGGAGCCAGGAGCTTCTTCCAGGGCTCCCACATGGCTGCAGGGGCCCAAGCACTTGGGCCATCTTCCGCTGCTTTCCCAGGCACATTGGCAGAACACTGGATCAGAGTGGAGCAGCCAGGACTTGAACTGGTGCCCATATGGGATGAGGGCACCGCAGGTGGCGGCTTTACCTGCTATACCACAGCGCCGGCCCCCAAGATTTATCTTTAATTGACAGATAGCTGTCCAGATTGATGGGGTGCAATGCTACAGTAGCTTGATACAAGGGTACAGCATGCATTTCCATCTCCTGAAACACCAGTTCTTTGTGTGGGGCTCACAAAGGCCTCCCTCTGCTTTGTATAAAAGGCGTTCGTGTCATAAGTCCTTGTGCTATGGGATGCTACAAAGGATCGGGACGGGCAGAGAGCAGGGGATGAGAGTGCGCGGGAGAGAGCTCACGCAGGGCCCGGGGAGATGGGGATCTGGGAAGTCCCCATCCGTCCTGGGCATTGCCCTGCGCAGACACGGAAGCTTCTGTAGGCCCCGGGGGGCGTGGGTGCTGGGAGTCTGGACCACTCACACCTTCCTGTATTTGAATGTCACAGGAACCCGGAGTCAACTTTCTATTGTCCATGGACCAAAAGAATCAGAAAAATCAGTGGCTGATGATCACTTTGGGGTTGCTTACAATTCTTAAGAAGAAGTTAATGGGTGGGCTCAGTTCGAATGTGTGTTAATTATTCTTTCTAAGAAGATCTGCTGTGACCGTTGACAGTAACTTACAGCATTAATTATATATCATTCTTTATTTTGGAAGGACGTAGTCCCACACATGTCTGCTGAGAAGTATTTACAATGTAAATTTTGGAAGGTGAGAAAGCCCTCTAATCCTTTATAAATATTGTGTTCAGGATTTTAATTAACAGAAATGTCCAATTTGGAAAGGCTTGAATTATTTTCCCTCTCCGTTTTCTCAGTGTTTCTCGCAATCGATGGGGTTTGTCCTGACATCTTCCCCAAAGCTCCATGAATGTCTTGTGGCTGATGGCGTCTTCCGTAAGGGAATTCAGGAGAGTAGTCTTGGTTTTCAGTTTGGCAACATGAATTGTTAATAAGGATCCAAGACGCAGGCCAGTAGAATAAACACCATAAAGCAGAGTGGGCTTGAAGCAGCCCTAGGATCCCGTGAGGGGCTTCATCCCGAGCACATGCACTTAACAGTTGGCTTATGGAAAACAAAATATCTAAATGGAAGAAATTGCTTTGCTGTAGGGCTGTGTAGCAGAACAAATATTCAGACCAAACCCAAGCTCCAATATTAAGGAGCATATTTTATGGATTTTAATATATGAACATGATGCAATATTATGCAGCCTTTAAAATTTGTTTTTAAAAACCATGCACATAGATGAAAAATGGTTATGTGAAAATATTAAGTGGAAAGATGAGGAAAATAATACAGTGTGAATGCAAGTATATAAAAATGCATATCTGTTAGCAAAACCGTGCTTTTAAGAAATTTCTCAGTTTTATTGCTTGTTGAGTTTACCATAAAGTATTGGAAAATGAGCTTCTTCTGAGCCACTAGGCCGCCCTTGCTGGGGGTAGCCTGGACCAGGTCACCTGCTGTGAGGTGAGGCTGGTCCCTGTTCTCGTGTTCTCACTCTTGCTTCCTTTGTCTTCCCACGCACAGCAGCGGGGATGACGACCTGGACCTCGCCCACGTGCTCCTGAGGAAGTTCAGAGGTCAAGGTCTGATCTGCGCTGATTCAAACCCGGACCTGTAAGTCTCAGGCGCCCTCTGCAGAAGTGAGACTCCCAGCCTGGGCGGGGGGGGGGGGGGGGCGGGGGTCCTTCCACAATGGCATTGCAGGGTGACGTGGCATGGACACCACTGGCTTCCTGGGTGCATGGTTACTGAGCAGGCCCGATGGGGCTGCCACACAGCTAACGAATGGCCATCCCTGCTTGCACACAGCTTTATGTCATGGCAAAAAGAATCAGTCATTAACAGTGTCAGGTTTGCCTAAGAAAACCCAAAGTTAAAAACAACAAAGCAACCATTAACATGAGTTGTGTGCAAACTGTCATTCTCTTTTAGAGAGAGCTTGTACATATGAAAAGGTTAATTATAATTTCTCTAACTTAAGAGACTTAAAAGATTATTCCATCAAATTTGGCAAATTATTTTTATCTTTCGGGGTTTTAAATGATAATATAATGATCTTTTAGTGAAATATTGATAAAATACCTTTTTTTCATGAGTAGTTTTCTCCTTATTTTCCTCTGCTTTTATGGACTGAGGAGCTAAATAGAATAAAATGCCTCTGGAGCTGCTGAGAGTGATAAGGAACACAGCCCAGGTCCCAGCGAACCTACCGTTCTTGGTTGAGCAACGGAAGCAAGTGACCGCCTATTAGGTGCTGGAAGGGCCTCTTCTAAGTAATCAATATTAAAGTCCGGACAATGATGCGATGTTGGCCATATGTTTTCCAACTTGTGAGACACGTTTTGCTCATTAATCATGCTGGTAATTAGCTTGAGACTGAGCAGCTCTTAATGGTCTCTGAAAGAATTAATAGAAAATTAATTATGCTGCTCCACTCTAGTCTTGTCTTGAAAAGCAAAGTCGTTTGTTAACGGAGGCGTCAGTGGTGACGTTTTCATTTCCGTTCCTGGGTGAAGCACGCAGCACGTGTACACCTGCTGGTGAGGAAACTGGCCGGGCTGCCCCCGGTGCCAGCCCCGGGCCGCCCCCACCCCCCGCCAGCCCTGGGCCGCCCGCCCCCCGTGCCAGCTCCGGGCCGCCCCCCCCCCCCCGCCAGCCCCGGGCCGCCCCCCGCGTCAGCCCCGGGCTGCCCGCCCCCCGTGCCAGCTCCGGGCTGCCCGCCCCCCACGTCAGCCCCGGGCTGCCCCCTCATGCCAGCCCCGGGCCACCCCCCGGGCCGCCCACCCCTCGTGCCAGCCCCATGCCGCCCCCCCACGCCAGCCCCAGGCCGCCCCCCGCGTCAGCCCCGGGCTATCCGCCCCCCCACCCCCCGTGCCAGCCCCGGGCTGCCCTCCCTGTGCCAGCCCCAGGCTGCCCCCCCATGCCAGCCCCGGGCCGCCCTCCCTGTGCCAGTCCCAGGCCGCCTCCCGCATGCCAGCCCCGGGCCGCCCCCCAGGCCGCCCCCCGCGCCAGCCCCGGCCCACCTTGCATCACAGGCAGTGAGGGGAAGAGAGGTGGTTCCCTGTCTGCGCTCTGAGAGGAGAAACGAGGTGGAATGGCTGCTTCCAGGCGGTCCCTTGCTCCGTTCTGACACTTCTTTGGGGCTCATTTCTTTGCAGGGGACAGGGACCCATGCTGTTCCCCAGCCGGCGAGCAGCCCCACCCAGCGTGGGACCCTTTGCCCTTTGTTCTACCGTCGTCTTGGACTGACATTTTTGTTCCCCGCTTTTCTGTGTGGACTCTGTGTCCTGCACCCATTCTCCTGGTCGGGAGCGTGAGGCTGGGGGCTGGGGCTCCAGTCCAGGGGGCGCTGGGGCTCCAGTCCAGGGGGCTGGGGCTCTCCTCTGAATCACTTTATCTCTGGGTTCCAGATCAAAGCAAAAAGGTTGTTTTTGTTGTTGTTGTTGTTGTTTTTGGTTTTGTTTTTTTTTTTGACAGGCAGAGTAGACAGTGAGAGAGAGAGAGAAAGGTCTTCGTTTGCCGCTGGTTCACCCTCCAACGGCTGCTGCAGCCAGCGCACCGCGCTGATCCAAAGGCAGGAGCCAGGTGCTTCTCCTGGTCTCCCATGGGGTGCAGGGCCCAAGCACTTGGGCCATCCTCCACTGCACTCCCTGGCCACAGCAGAGAGCTGGCCTGGAAGAGGGGCAACCGGGACAGAATCCGGTGCCCCGACCGGCACTAGAACCGGGGTGCTGGCGCCGCAGGCGGAGGATTAGCCTAGTGAGCCGCAGCACTGGCAGCAAAAAAGTTTTACTTGAGAAATTTCCTCCTGCTTCCTGGCTTGAGTGATAGCGACATTTGTTCTTCCTGGTGGACCTGAGCGACGCCTTGGTTGTTAGGGGGACATTTAAAAGCAGTCGATGAGAAGCTGCCTGTGGACAGCTTTGCTGTTGAGACGCTCGCGCTGTGATGTGCGTCTGACTGTGACCTCCCTCTCGTTCGGCCGACACTGGAGGGCTGCAGGACAGTCTGGGGTGGCATCAACCTAAATCTGAAGTGTAAGTTTTCCCACTACACAGGCACTGCAGGATCTGATCATTAAGATGTGCTAGAGCAGACTGGCGTGCTTCCATATTGCTTCATTTGCAAGGCTCAGCTGCTGGCCCCCCAGTGGCCAGTTCCCTCATTTCTAGGCAAAATGATCACTTTCCCCTCCCGTTCTTATTAATCTTTTAACAAAGAACAAAAGCGGCAGTCAACAAAACCAACTAGGTGATTCATGAGGTTTATTTTCATGATTTTCAAGAAACATCTGTGTGTTTATTTGAAAGGCAGAGTTACATATAGGGGCAGGTGCCGTGGCGCACTAGGTTAATCCTCCACCTGTGGCGCCAGCATCCCATATGGGCGCCAGTTCTAGTCCCGGCTGCTCCTCTTCCAGTCCAGCTCTCTGCTGTGGCCTGGGAAAGCAGTGGAAGATGGTCCAAGTGCTTGCGCCCCTGCACCCACATGGGAGACCCAGAAGAAGCACCTATCTCCTGACTTCGGATTGATGTAGCTCCGGCCATTGAAGGCATTTGGGGGGTGAACCAACGGAAGGAAGACTTTTCTCTCTGTCTCTTTCTCATTGTCTGTAACTCTACCTGTCAACTAACTAAATAAATAATCTAAAAAAAAGTTACAGAGAAGGAGAGAGCGAGCGAGCGCACGCTCTTCCATCTGCTGATTCACTCCTCAAGTGGCCGCAACAGTCAGATCTGAAGCCAGGAGCCAGAAGCTTCATCCAGGTCTCCCACGTGGGTGCAGGGTCAGCACTTGGGCCGTCTTCCGCTCCTTTCCCAGACCATTAGCAGGGAGCTGGAGTGGAAGTCAAGCAGGCGGGACAAACCGGCGCCCGGATGGGATGCCAGCATTGTAGGCATCAGCTTTACCTGCCATGCTGTAACACTGGCCCCTGTTTTCATGATTTTCAGTAGACCGTTATCCTGTTGGGTTGTGGCCCTGTGATCCCTCACCTTTGTGGCCCGATGTTTCCAGAGCTCAGGAACATTGAGAAGGTTCTTAAAGAGTGCTCAGTAGGTGAGATGCTTGGAGCATCTCATGGCTGGTAATAGCCTCTCTCCGAGGAGCCTATACAGAGGCAAGTGGAGGTCAAGGGTCAGAAGTATAGAGGGTGTGTGTGCAGGCATTGGGGTGCAGGGGTGAGAACACAGGTCCTGACCAGGCAGCCGTGGGAAAGTCTCAGCTCCCTCACTGTGGGCGGTGTGAGCTGGGCTGCCTGCTGCGCCTGCCTCTGCCTCTGCGGCCATTGCTCTGCTCCTAGTTTCAGGAAGAGGAGGCCGAGTGGCCCCAGAGGGAGCGCCCGTCCTCTTTAGGCCAGAGACAGCAGGGTCTGAGTGTGGATGTCCCCGCACTGGGACAGCTGCTTAACCCGGCATTTCTAGACCCCACGAAGCCGTGCCTGTGCGCAGGGCTCACTGCGCCCGGGACAGCACCTTGGCGAGGGTGGCCTGCGGAAGAGGAAGGAAATGCTGGGCGAGGTCAGAGCACGTGTGCAGATCCCTCGAGTTTGGAGGAGGTGTGCGCAGCAGAGTCTGGTTCCTAACGCAACACCTCCTCTGTGAGTTGCAAGTCTCCCAGATTCCTAGCGAGTCTTTGAACACAAAAGTTGTTGGAGGCTGTGAGATGCTGGAAGAGCTAAAGCCTGGTGGATGCTGGCTCGGGCCCTGTGCAGCTGTCTAGGGCAGCAGGAGGGGAGGGCTAACTTTTCAAAGACTAATGCATGGAATCGTGGTGTGTGCCAACCAACCATTGTCCAAGGTGAGCGCCTGAAGCAAAAAGAGCATGCCGGTGCTAAGTGGTCTGATTGGATTATTCCCTTAGATACTGTTTCCATGCTAAGTTTTCAGATGCAAACTAGAGGCCCTGTAAGCTACCCAGCTGTGGAAGCAGTCCTGGATGAGTGTTTAAGTCATTTCTGATATTCAGGAATTAGCAAGTGAATTACGCTTCCCCAGCCTGGTTAAGAGAAATGGAAAGTTGTATGTTTTTTATGTGAGAGGCAGAGAGACACACAGAGGGCTGCTACCCACCAGTCCACTCCCCGGATGCATGCAGTAGCTGTTGCTGCAGCCAGGAGCCCAGGACTCGATCCAGTTCTCCCAGGAGTGGAGTCATCACCGCTGTCTGCCTGTGTCTGGCAGCTTTAGCAGGAAGTGGAATCGGGAGATGGAGTTGGATACGGAGCCCAGCCGTTCCTCCGTGGAATGTGCTCATCTTCATGGTGTCTTAACTGCTGGGCCAAGTGCGCACGTCTGCCGAGTTTCTTCTCCCTAGCCTGGACTTCTTCAGCACACAGAGGTGGCGTTCAGAGCGTGGAGGCCCCGCCGGGAGGTGAAGCTGGACCAGCTGCCTGCTGCTTACAAGCTACTTGCCCTTTCAGAAAACGAGGCTAGAGAGGATTTTGGCAAAAATATCCAGCTGTAGGGTCTGTCATTCAGTCCAAGAGTCTCCTGTATTCGCTGTCAGTGTTTTTGGTAGTTAAGAATAATTATCATCAGTAAAGCAGATTTGGTTGACAAACATCAGAAAAAAATTTAAGTGCGAAACCCACGAGGTCAATGAACTAGGAGCAAACTAGGTAAAGCTTCCCCCACTGCTGCGAGGAGGTTCGTGTCTGTCTCCAGGGTGTGGCCGCTCTTCAGAGTGGAAGTTTAGCATGATCTCCCTCCTCCTCTCTTTTTTAAAGACAGGGCTACAGAGAGAGAGGGACCAAGAGAGATCTTTCGTCTGCTGGTTCACTACCCAGATGGCTACACGGCCAGTGCTGGGCCAGGTTGAAGCCAGGAGCTTCTTCCAGGTCTTCCATGTTGGGTGCAGGGGCTGAAGCACTAGGGCCATCCTCTGTTGCTTTTCCCAAGCCATAAGCAGGGAGCTGGATTGGGAGTGGAGCAGCTGGGACTTGAACCAGCACTTACGTGGGATGCCAGTCACAGGCAGCAACTTAACCTCCACCTCCACAGTGCCGGCTCCAGTTGTTTTTCTTTAAGTGATGATTAAGTTACTGTGTCAGGCTGGGGGGAGATGAGCAGCTTGATGGGTTTATTAAGTGCTTCTGGGTACTGGTTCTGGGACTGGGATCCCTGTGCATGTTCCGGGGGTCCTGGTGGCACTTCCCACACTGGGAGCCGGGAACACGTGTCCCGCCAGGGAACCATCAGTGCCGGAGCCGCATCATTAGGTGGAGGACTCACCCTGTGGAAGCAGCTCCGCAGGCTGTCTTCCTGGCGGGAGGAGTGATAACCCCGAGCTGTGTTCTGTTTGCGCAGAGCTGCCTTCCATAGAAATGCAACAGCTCTGTCATCAGAATGATCACCCCATCCCCTCTGATTTCTAGGAGGAATTCCTCGTGCTGGCGCCGGGATCTCTTTTCCCACCCAGAATTCCAGGACTCCTGTGGCTGCCTGGTAGGTTTCTGCAACAGTTGTGATCCTTTAAAGGCTAAGCCCTGAGTGACAAAAGTGACTGCTCTACCGACAAAGTCTTCACGTTCGCCCCCGAGTCTTTCCGACCTGATGAGCTGTTTCTGAGAAAATTTCCACCACCAGAAGTCAGCACGTGCACCACGCGCTGCGGTGCAGAGGCCGGAGTCCCCACATCCAGGCCTGACCCTTGGTGGGCGGCTCTGACCCTTGGTGGGCAGCTCTGACCCTTGGTGGGCGGCTCTGACCCTTGGTGGGCGGCTCTGACCCTTGATGGGCAGCTGTGACCCTTGGTGGGCAGCTCTGACCCTTGGTGGGCGGCTCTGACCCTTGGTGGGCAGCACTGACCCTTGGTGGGCAGCTCTGACCCTTGATGGGCGGCTCTGACCCTTGGTGGGCAGCTCTGACCCTTGATGGGCAGCTCTGACCCTTGGTGGGCGGCTCTGACCCTTGATGGGCAGCTCTGACCCTTGGTGGGCAGCTCTGACCCTTTGTGGGCAGCTCTGACCGTTGGTGGGCAGCTCTGACCCTTGGTGGGCAGCTCTGACCCTTGATGGGCAGCTCCTACCCTTGGTGGGCAGCTCTGACCCTTGGTGGGCGGCACTGACCCTTGGTGGGCGGCTCTGACCCTTAGTGGGCAGCACTGACCCTTGGTGGGCGGCTCTGACCCTTGGTGGGCGGCTCTGACCCTTGGTGGGCAGCACTGACCCTTGGTGGGCGGCTCTGACCCTTGGTGGGCGGCTCTGACCCTTGGTGGGCAGCTCTGACCCTTGATGGGCAGCTCTGACCCTTGATGGGTGGCTCTGACCCTTGGTGGGCAGCACTGACCCTTGGTGGGCAGCTCTGACCCTTGGTGGGCAGCACTGACCCTTGATGGGCAGCTCTGACCCTTGGTGGGCAGCTCTGGTGGCATTTGCTACACAGGTGCATCTTCTTCGTTAAGGATGGAGAAGCTCGAGTTTTCCCTTTGAGGGAAATGTCCTGCACTTTGAGGCAGGTGACTTCGAGGCTCTTGTCCTATTTTTGACTTCTGAGAGGCGCTAGGAAGAGCCGGGGTGCCACAAGCCAATGCTTCTGAGTGTGGCGGATTCATAAAAACGTGGGGAGGTAGGGGTGCCCTTGTTGAAGGCGGGGCCCTAGCTCTCTGCTCTATGTTGGAGAACAACTAAAATTTACTTGGAAAACCAATCGGAACTGATCTCAAAGGAACTCTCGAGAGCTAATCAATAAAAGGTAGAGTCATGTCAGCCATAATCAATAAGCTAACATGACAAACCTAATTTGCAGAAAGAAACAAGTACTGAGCTAATGAGGATGCCTGGCAGGAGTGGCCATGGAGAGTGTGTTTCCAGCCTTTCGGGTTAGTGGCCCATGGGATGCTTTCCCCTTCCTAGTTGAGTGACTCAGAGAGCTGCTCTGGGCGGCCTGGTCTGCGTCCTTGCCCCGGATGAGAAGTGTCCATGTAAGGGAGTGCAAGGCAGGGCACCCGCGCTGCGCGCAGCAGTGGTTGACCGAGAGAAGGGGTGACCACGCTCCCTTTGCCAGGGTCAGGAGGCTCAGCTGCCCTCTCTGCTCCTCTGCACCGACTGCCGGCTTTTGCTCCTTTTGCTCAAGCTGTTGGACAAATTATTTTTCTCTGTACTCTTTCTTCCATTCCATTGTGAATTTCTAAATTTTGCTCCATACTCCTTTGGTCATTCTGTTACAGCAGTGGGTTTTATTTGCCCAGCTACGGTCTATTGGGATTGGATTGGGGTCAGCGGTTAAGGGATAAATGAATAAACATCAGAATGGTTGAGGTCTATGCTCCTCCGTGCACTGCATCTCATATGAATGCTGAGGCTTCAGTGTGACACCTATGCAAACAGCTTCATGTGATACAGTTCCGTCACCAAGAGCTTTCAGAAAAGCTGGATGAGGTAGCGGTCAGTGGATCCCTTAGCAATTATGTGACAATGGGAATTGGCTGTGGGGGAGGAGAGGATCCAGCGTCTTCTACACGTTATTTAATAGATCTTTTTGTGTGTTGGTGAGACCCACATGCGCTTTTGGGCACACTTTGAGAAAGGCTGGTTTACCAGTTAGAAATCAGGAGCGAGGGAGTTGAGGTGGAATCAGTAAGTCTGAGGGTGGGGTTGCTCTCCAGGACAGGTTGAGGGGGCTCGTGCCGTGGCCACTTCAGAGTTTGCTTTGGGGGGACCAGTTGCCCGTGGCCAGCTCTCTGATTCTGAGTGGTCACATCAAGTCCAGGAAACCAGGTGTTCAGAAGACAAACCATTTCTCCATCTCACATTCACGTGTGCTGCCCTGAAGCCCCGGGTCTTTCCTCCTATTTTTGTCAAAGACAACGGACTCTCTCCAAACCCACCAAGCAGTTGTGAGGGCAAAGGCAGCAGTGGGAAAGAACTCAGGTAAGAAGGCTCTGGGGGGGAGGAGAACTGAACTGGCCCTAAAGAACAGGCAGGCCTGAGCTCCTGTAGGTGGCAGCCAGGATGTGACCACAGCCACACAGTCAGGAGCAAGCTGCTAGAAGCAGAGTGAGTGGAGGGCACACTCCTCTTTGGGTCTGCTGTAATAAATCGCTACACACCATGACCTAAAAACCGAGGATTTGTTCTCACATGGTCCTGGAGAGCAGTAGTGTGGAGTATCACCAGGATGGGCTCCAGGTGCGCTCTCCAAGGTTCTGAAACAGAGTCCACTCCCTGCCTCCTCCAGCTGTGTTGGCTTCCGGGGCTTGTGGCCACGTCACTCCAGTTTTCTGCCTCCTGCTCTTCCCTCTCCGCCCGGGCTCCATCTTGCTATGATTATGGCACATGCTTCCTGAGTACCATGTGACTCCTCAGTAAACACGCGTCACACGCAGAGCTGACGAAGGTCAACAACACTTTCTTCTCCTGAGTGTGACTTTGTGTTGGCAGGTCCTGAGCTCCTCCCTTCTCTTCATAACCATAAAGTGTCGTCGTGAATGACAGTCGCCCTGCTGTGCTGAGGATGCAAGAACCTGGTCCCTCTGTGTGCGTCGGCACCCATGATCCAACCTCCCTCTCTCCCCTCTCCTCCTACCCTTCCTACGTTTAGGAATCCCTATTCTACGTTTCCATCAACTTTCTTCCCTTAGCTTCCGTATATGAGAAAGAACATGTGGTCTTTGTTTTCCTGCCTGACTTAATTAACATAATGTCTTCCAGTCCCGTCTATTCTGCAAATGGTAGAGCATCCTTCATTTTTCAGCCGGACAGTCTTCTATCACACGATATAGACCACATTCCCCTCTGCACTCATCTGACAGGCGCTTAGGTTGGTTCCGCTGTGAACAGTACTACATGGGAGTTATGCCTCCATCTTGCAGGCTAGGGATTCATATGGTGGCTTCTGAGCTCAGCCTCACATCGAGGGCGACCCCCTATCTTGAGACCCGTAACTTAATAGCATCTACAGAGTCTTAGCCATGGAGGAAGCACTTACAGTCTAGTGATGAGGACCTGATATCTCTGGGGTTCATTATTTATCTTACTCTAGAGGGCACATTTGTGGAGAACTGAGTGAGTAAGCATTAGAGGCAGAGATTAGTAAGTTTGGTTCTTTTTTTAAGAAGTTTATTTTGAAAGGCAGAATTAGAGAGAGACCAACTTTCCATTTGCTGGGTCACTCCCCAGATGGCCACAATAGCCAGGTCTGAACTAAGCCAAAGCCAGGAGCTCATAACTTCAACAGGGTCTCCTACATAGGTGCAGGGCTCCAAGTACTTGGGCCATGTTCCACTACTCTCCCAAGTGTTTTAGCAGGGAGCTGGATCAGAAGTGGATGAGCCAGGACTCGAACTGGTGCCCATATGGGATGCCAACATAACAGGCAGGGGCTTAACCCACTGTGCCACAACACCGACCCAGAGTTTGAGTTCTTGATGAGAATTTGAAGTTTTCAACATTGAGTCGTGTAAATGAACATTTCAGCGAGCTATGTCTTGAGGCAGTGGGAAGGTGAGCTGGAGAGAGAAAGACTAGGGGCGTGAAAACTTTAAAAGTAACGCTAACCTGCCAGTGAGATAAGTGAGTTTCACTGATTTGTTCGCATTCTCCGGCAAGTAGGAGCTATGTATGTTTGTGGAGTGCAACGTGATGTTTTTCTGGGTGTATACATGACAGAACGGCCAAATCGAGCTATTTAGCAGTGCACTACTTATCATTTACTTGTGGGGAAAGCTCCAAGACGCTACTCTCGTGGGCGTTCACAGCCGCTGAGCTGTGCGTGGCACTCATGCACTCCGTCCTCCTGTATCCCTGACGTTTGTGTCCTTTGACCAGGGCCTCCCTCGCTGCCACCATCCTCAGCCTCCGGCACCCATCCTGGGTCCAGCTGCTTCAGAGTCCACACGTGGGGCATGGGCTGAATTGTGATTTACAATGAGTATTAATTTTATATTCCTCCAAGCCTTTCCATCAAGAACCCAAGAATAATACCCTCAATGGATATAAGGGAACTTCAGAAAGTTAATAAACAGTGGAATTAAAGGATAGTTTATTTTGGTGCCGAAAATTATAATTCACGCATATGAGGGTTTTTCAACACTTTCTTGGAAAATGCAAATTGTAAGAAACTTAGGCTTGGATTTCAGAATATTTTTTTGACCACCAAGTTTGTTTTACCAAACAGACTTATCTTTGGATTTAGCTTACCCATGACCTGTGGAAGCCCTCGCCCCTAACCCTTCCTCTGTGGCCCTTGTTCTTTCGTGCACAGCTGGACCCACCACGACGCCATGCACTTGGTGAGAATGTCTGTGTCTCCATCTCGTGAATGAGAAAGCAGGTTCTGGGGCTGAGTCTGCTCCTGTTTTCATTTATGACTTGTCCCAGGTCTGACCAGGCAGAAACAAAGAACGTTAAGTCTGAGCCCTGGTGTGGCAGGACACGTGTGACTGCCGGCTGGCGTGGTGTGGCCCACCGCTTCCCGCCCTGCTGGGGACCCTCCCCACCCACTGCAGGTGTAGCATGCTGATGAGTCAGGGGGCGGGGGGAGCTGTGTGCTTTCACTCCAGGCCCTTAGGAGAGAGGCTCCTCCTGCCTGCCCTCCCCACCCACTGCAGGTGTAGCATGCTGATGTGTTGTGTGTGTGTGTGTGGGGGTGGGGAGCTGTGTGCTTTCACTACAGGCCCTTAGGAGAGAGGCTCCCGTTGGAACCCTCCTGCCCCCCTCCTGGCTGCCCTGCTCTCCTGCAGGCCCCTCGGTGGTCAGCTCTCCCCAGCAAAACCCGTCTCCCTTTCTGGTTCTTAGGAATCTGCCCAAGCTTACGTCCACTAAGGGGTGTGACGTCCTCGGTCTGCCTGGTTGTGGGGGCTGTGGTGGAACTCTGCTGTGATGCGCCCGCGTTGGGGGGCCCCACGGGATTTTAGCAGTCAGAGCATAGAACGCGCTGCAGATAATTTATTACAAATGGAAAGCTGTGGAAACTCGCGTTGTATTTAAAATCCTGTCAGTGAACCTGTGTGTGTGAATTACGAATCTGTTTCGTTTTCCTGTCTCTGGAAACAATGACAGAGGTGTCCCAACAGCAGTGCAGGGGCGCCCTACCTGACCAGCGGCCTGGGCCACACCCTGCTGAACCTCTCGGGCACTGACGTGGAGGAGTACCTGCTGCTGCCATCTGATACACCCAGGTGGGTTCACAGCTGTCCTTGCCGAGGGCAAGTGGCCCCAGGGCCCACCCAGGCGCTCACATTCCTCATGTAAAAAGGTATAATATTTGCGTATAGCCTACACATATCCTCCTGTACACTTTGCATTTTTATTTATGTGACAGGCAGAGAAACAAGACAGCAGACTCATGCCCTCATCTGCTGATTCACAACCCAAATGCCTATAGCTGCCGTGGTTGGGTCGGGTCAAAGCCAGGAGCCCCAGGCTTAATCCAGTTCTCTTGCATGAGTGGCAGGGACCCAGCACTGGCACCGTGACCTGCTGAGTGTGGCCTAGCAGGAAGCCATCACTGAAGCGGAGTCGCGACTCTGCATCCCAAGCGCATCTTAATGCTGGACCTAAGTCCTGCCCCCTCGCACATATACTGCATCATCTCTGCATTGCTTGTGACACCCAGCGTGATGTGAGCCCTGGGTTGGACTGGTTTAGGGAACAGCAAGAAGAAGGCAGCGCCTGTAGGGGTTCAGTGCGGACATCTTTTCCTGAATGCTTTCTGCCCTGGGCTGGATCCACAGCTGCAGAACCCGGGGGTAGGGGAGGTCGACTGTATTCCGGGAAATGCCTCGTTTCAAATGCTAATGCTCATAAACTCTCTGAAGTCTGACACTAACCTTGGAGCTCATAAAAATTCCAGAGGCACGCGTGGGCCTTAATCAGATTCCTCACCACCGACTTGCACCAGGGAAATCATATCAATTGAGATTCCGTCAGTGGTAGGAGCTGGGGAGCCAGAAGAGGCTTTATTGCTTTAGGGAATACGAGCAGATAAGTTAACAGCGTAATGAAATAATAGTCTTCTTTTAGAATTCCCTCTACTATGCGGCTTCCAGGATGAGGACCCGGGTACCACTGGTGTCGTAAACTTGCTCTTAGGCGATCTGGGGGAAACTTTTATTTTCCGACGAGTTTCCTTGAGCCCTGAGGGGACGAACCAGATGAGGGCGGTGGGAATGAGCACTTCCCGTTGCTTTAACTCTCAATCACATTTGTCAGATTGTTAACTTCCCAAAGTCCCCCGAACGCGTTATGTCGCTTCACGTGCAGGCATCCCGCGGGGGAGTCTGCGTTGCCTGCAACAGCCTCTGCCCTTCGCCCGTCTCCTCCTCCCCTGTGCCGGGCAAGTCTACCACGGCCCTCCTGGACACCCCCACCCCCACCCCCAGGTCGTCTGCCTGCCTCTCTTCTCTGCTCCATGTTGTGTTGATATCTTTCAGTGTGACCCTGTTACCGGAGAGAGCAAGGGTTCTTGTCTTCACACAAGAAAGAATTCAGGTGTGAGACAGAGAGCAGGGAAAGCAAATAGCAAGGTTTATTAGGGTAGGGACATCCGTAAGAACAGCTGGGCACCTCTCCAGACAAGACCTGAGAGAGAGCGCCAGTCGCTCAGACTCGGGAAGAGCGAGGTTACATGGTTGAGTGGAGAGAGTACACCTGGCCAGGCCAGGCGGGCGGCTCAGCAGAGAAGCAGAGGGCTGAGCGCGCAGTCTGGTTGAGGCTGGGGGTTTTTAAGGGGGTGGGTCTTTTTGGATGTAAATACGAAAAATTCCTTTCTGAGTTTCCCCCTGAAGTTATCAGACGGGGGAAGCCTGGCTGGCGTCGCCCTGGTTAGAGGAAGGATGGTTATCGGGTAGAAGGGGCAGGAGGTCTGAAGTGCAGATACTGGGCTGCCCCTGGAAGGTTGTCAGGATGACTCTGAGCTGCGGATGCTGGACCTGGGTGTCAATGCCTTAGGCCTTTGTCACACACAGAAGCTCATTTCTGACTTCCTACCTAACAACCCCAAATCCCTGGGTTTCCTTTCTAGACAAAGGAGGGAGCTCATGAGTCAGGATAGTGTGAGCACACAGAAGGCGGTCAGTGCACGTCTGGCTGTGGGGCCGGTGAGTTCTGGGCATCCGAGAGGAATGTGTCCATCTTCCTCTGCCTCGGTTTTTGGTGAGGGTGGGGCCTCTGTGGTGCAAAACCACTCTTCCATCTCTGCCTATCTGGAAAATGGGAAATAGTTGATTTTTTAATGATTACTTTTAAAAAGGAATTTTAAAAATTAAATTTATTTATGTGAAAGGCAGAGATAGAAAGAGATATGGATCTTCTGTTCACTGGTTCAGTCTCCAAATACAGCTGGTGCTGGGGCCAGGCTGAAACCAGGAGCCGGGAACTCCATCCAGGTCTCCCACATGGGTGGCTGGCTCTCAACTCTTGAGCCGTCACCTGCTGCCTCCCATCAGGAAGCTGGAAGCGGAAGCAAAGCTGAGACTTGAGCCCAGGGTCACCGTACACCTGCTGCGACAGTTTAGTGGTGCCTTTGTTTCTAATGTCAGCTACTTTGGAAGCCTAGTAGGCGTCAGATACTATACAACTCACAGCAGCAGAGAGATAAAAGATAAAATTCCCATCCAAGAAAACCTTGCAGAGTTGCACGAAGGATAAGCTAGCAAATACACTGTTGAAACCCGTTTGGTAACTGGCACAGTTGGTGGGGATGTTGGATGCTGGGAGAACTCAGAAGGAGCACCCCACACGCCTGAGCCGGCGAGATGAGAGTGGAGGATGAAAGAGCCAAGTGTGGGGAAGACCACGACCCACGGATTCTCGGGAGAGGGTTTGTAGGGGCCGTGACCCGTGACGAGAGCGGAGAGCCGATGATCAGCCGTCCTTACGGGGCATCTGCTTCCTGGTCAGGTGGCCTCTGAGAGCGCACGGCATCATGTGGTCAGCCTCGGTCAGACTTGCCCAGTAACCCGGGGAGGGCCTGGGTGTCTGACAGCCGTGCCCAGCCTTCTGTCCTAAGACCATGTGGCCAGTGTGCTTGGTGACGAACGCCCTGGCCCAAGGGCTGACACCTGCTTGCTGTTGACAGGCTCGGCGGCTGGTCCTTCGGAGTGCGCCTGCCCGGCAAAGCTGAGGCTGCGAACGCAAGCACATCCAAGTCGGAGACTCTGGCGAAGGTAACAGTGGGTCTTGTCTTCCCCTTCTGTTGGGAAGTGTTCGGGGAAACCCCGTATCCAAGATCCAGATGCAATCCCAGCCTCTCTGTGTGAGCATCAAGACTAATTGGGGAAAAAGATTCCCTTGAAAGACAAAATGAGGCCTGGGCTGCGGCTCACTAGGCTAATCCTCCGCCTTGCGGCGCCGGCACACCGGGTTCTAGTCCCAGTTGGGGCGCCGGGTTCTGTCCCGGTTGCCCCTCTTCCAGGCCAGCTCTCTGCTGTGGCCCAGGAGTGCAGTGGAGGATGGCCCAAGAGCTTGGGCCCTGCACCCCATGGGAGACCAGGAGAAGCACCTGGCTCCTGCCATCGGATCAGCGTGGTGCGCCGGCCGCAGCGCACCGGCCGTGGTGGCCACTGGAGGGTGAACCAACGGCAAAGGAAGACCTTTCTCTCTGTCTCTGTCTCTCACTGTCCACTCTGCCTATCAAAAAATAAAATAAAATAAAAATAAAAAGAAAGACAAAATGAATTGTTTTTATCAAGACCGTGTGGACACAGAGCCAATAAGTTACTGCTTTTGTTCAGACAGGATTTCGCCCCTAGCGCTAAAGCAAATGAGAGGCCAGCGGTTTTTAGAGGTAGCCACAGGCGCCGCGGATGGAGCCGTCAGCAGGTTTCCTGGCAGCCGAGGAGCTTCCTCCATATGTAACCTGAACCTGGATGGACAGAGTAAAGACAGTAGCAGTTTCCTGGGGCCACTGGTCAGGGCCCTCGGTTTGCAGGTCCTGCCAGGACCACCCCTGTCGGACTAGGAACCACCCCCCTAGAATGACAGAAGGAGGCTTCCCCAGGGTGCGCAAACGAGGACGGGATAGAGGAACGACGCCTCTGCCCACGAGAGGATGCAGCCGTGTGGAAAGACACAGCTTTTTCCAAGAGGAAGTCACATAACCTTAAAACAGGGACACACAAAAGCTTCCGAGCTTCCTGTCTCCACGCCGGGGCACCAGTGTGGTGTCTAAGTAAGAACTTAGAAAAGAGGAGACAGTGGGCGGAGGGCGAGTGAGCTCCGTGAGGCACCGTGCGGAAGTGACTGGGAGGCGTGTCTGTCTATGGTGTGTGCATAGGCGGGGGGTTGTCTGCTCATAATCTCATCATTGACCAAGTAAAACAAGGCGGGGTGTTTGGCTTAGCAGCTAAGATGCTGCCTGGCAGGCCTGCGTCCTGTATCAGGCTGCTTGGGTTTGGGTCTTGGTTCCATTTCTGATGACAGCTGTCTGCTACTGGGAGCCCGGGAGGCAGAGGTGGTGGCTCAAAGGAGCTGGGCCCCAGCCACCCACGTGGGAGACCTGGATTGAGTTCCCAGCTCCTGGTCTCATCCTAGCCAGTTCTGGCTGCTGCGGGCGTTCGAGGGGTGGATGGGAACTGTGTATGTCTGTCTCTGTGCCTCTCAGATAAGTAAAGAGTAAACAAAGAACTGCCGGGGGAGGCCCCTGTGCTCCGCAGTGGGGCCGTCCCTGGCTTGTGTGGATAGGGAGACCCTTGGCAGCATCAGGGTTGTGCCTGTTGGAGGTTGACTCGGTAGAATGAAGGTTCTCGCAGGTCGCTCATGACATAATCCCTGAAGGAGACTTAACAGCTGCACTTCACAACGTCACAGTCATGCCCGCAGTGTAGCCCCTGGTGACAGTTCTAAGTCCCCTCACATCACCTTCCCTGAGAAGGTTTAGTGGTCTTCCCTCTTCAGCTGAGATTTAAGTCTCTTTCTTTAGAGGCAGCCATGGGAGAAGACGTACAGCGTGACATCACCATTCATAGCTTGTTAGACCAATAACCTGGTTTGCACACCTTTGCTGGCTTATCTTGGAATGCATTATGTGGCCATAACTGCACTAACCCTAATATGTGTAAGGAATCTGTTCACTCCTCTAGTCTGTCCGGACCCCTGAGCTGCTAGGTAGAGTGGACGGCCGTGTCTCTGCTCGCCGATGTCCGGGCACGGCCTCTCGCTCAGTGACGGGGGCCAGGGAGTCGCGTTTCCCTCCCTGCTGCTCTCGTCAGATCTGTCTTCTGCCCCGACGTGGGTGGTGGTTTCTGGGGTCTGACGTGCTCGCTGGCAGTCAGAGGCAGGCAAGAGTCTTCCTGGGCCTGTCAGGGACTGAGCTCTTGCCAGGAAGCCAGGACATCTGACACTACAGTGGGGTGCACGGGGCAGGGGCTGTGTGTGACCCTCTGTTGCCCCAGACGTGGACTGCAGGCTGCAGTGGTGGACACCGTGTCCGTCAGTGGCTTTCTCAGTGATGAGTGAGCGGCCTTTCCTTCGGGGCTTAGATGGGTGATTTTCAGTCCTTCTGGGGGAGATGGGACATCTGCATGCGGATCTGCTTAACGAATGTCTCCTTACGCTCACAGATGTCTCCCTCGGAACCTCTAGGAGTTATTTCACTCACATCTCTGGTGTTTAGCTTATTGAATCAAAACATCCTTTAGAATGTGTACACTTCAGATGAAAAGCCAAATGCACGGCCCCTCTTGCAGCTCCGTGTGCGTGCTGCTCTCCCGTGGAGAGACGGTCCCTGGGTGACGCTTAGCCCTCGGTTCCTGAGCAGGGCTGTTCTGAGATGGCCCGAGATGTTCCAAAAATCAGGTGAGCTTTCTATGTCACTAATGGGACTTTAGCGCTTTCTGACTTAGGGGCCAGCAGGGAAGAAATCCCACAACTTATTTCTGGAACACGGTACAGTTCTAGGAAACCGCTCTCGGGAGGAAGGAAGGGAGGAAGGAAAGACGGATGTCTTTGAAGTCTGCTAAATCCTAAATTTTAAGATCATCACTAAACTCCTTTCCAACTTGAAGAACCTGTGAACTTCCTCTCGTAAAGACTTTCGCAGAGGAGCTGGAAGGCAGCTGACGGACGTTTTAAGCTCTGTTCCTTGGAACTCTGAATCAATAATTTGTTTTCAGAGTAATTCTGTGTAACTGCACGCCAACAGCGGCACGGACAGCACCCGTGGTTAGGTCCTGAGCGTTTGGGCCCCCTGACTGTGAGCCAGGCTCCTTAGCTCGAGCCTGGGCACCTCTCCTTACCCACCCTCTGCAGTGGGCCGTAACTGCCCCGTCCTGTCCCGTCCCCCTCAGCGTGTCTGTGAGCAGACCCTGGAAACCTGTCTTTGGACAACCGCTCGGCCTGCTTCCCGCCTGCAGGAAGCTGGGCTCTCAAGCATGTTTGCTACACTCAGCCAGGTCCGGTGGTGCTTCTCCCAGCAGCTCCCTGCAGAGCCCCCTAGGCCGTGTGTTTATGTTCCAGGTCCATAGGCCATCCTGGGATTCTGGTTGGGACAGCTGCTGTCTCTGGAGTGAATTTTAGGGCCTGTGTAAATTCTCCAAAGTCAAGCTCAGAGGATGTCTGGGCTTTGTGAGGCAATGGCCCTACGGTTCCAGGCCTCTTTCCATGTCCTCAACAAAACACTCACAGCTGTACTCTCCACTTGGCCTCTGCTCCAAGGCCAGGGCTCGGCAGTTTGCCAGGGCTCTCCACACCCAGGTCAGGTGTACCTGTGACAGTTTTACCCAGTGATCTGACACTGTGCAATGCAGGTCAGCACTTTTTTGGTTGCCCACAGTATTTTTTCTTACCATTTTTCCAATTTCCTACGGTTTTTCTCATCCGTTTTTCCAGATTCCTTGAATTGTCCCTTTAGCTCCTGCTTGTGGAGCTCAAAGCCGATGCCAGCTGTTCCCACTTTGTCATAGCACCGCCTGCACCAGTGCCGGTTGTTCTCAGTTATCTGCACCACAGCAAAGCTCTGTCACAGTAATGACCGCAGAGCATTCAGCATAGAGCTCGGTTATCTCGTGAGTCTGGGGTGTCTGCTCCCACGGGCTGCACTGGGCTGGTCTTAGCTGGGGGTGATCGTGTGTGTGGTTGGCTGGCTGCTGGTGTCACCTAGGATGATGATGGGGGCCCATATGTTTAGGATGGAGATGGCCTTTTCCATGATTAGGATAGATGCAAGATGGAAATGAGGATTTTATTACTTACAGGTCCTAGGGGATACACAGAACACCCAGCATGGGCGGGGTGGGGTGGGGGTGGTCTCTAATGGGCCAACACATTTTTTTGGAGTTCAAGGTGTTAACCAGGCAGGTTTCCCTCAGGGAGGTCTAATTAGCGGGTTTAGAGCGACTGCTCCAAGTCTGCACAGCCCGTGTGGGGTCAGCCAAGCAGGCTGGATGTCGCTGGCTGGCGGGGAGTGCAAGGCATGCATCTGGATGACCACGCTGAGCTGGGAGGAGGTGGGGACTGGAGCCTGCGTCAAGGGGATCAAGTCCTGCTTTTGTGAGAAAGCACAGCTTGTATTCAGAGTAGAAATCGTAAGAATTCCCTAGAGGGCGGGCTCAGCCCTGCTCCTATGTCTTATCCTCCAGCAGTCTACCCGGCCGTGCCCCTGTGGCCACAGCAGCTCAAGAATGGGCATGACGTTTTCAAACCTCTGCTGCGTCACCGTCTGTTGGCCAGAGCATATGACGTGGCTGAGCACAGAGCGGAAGGGAGTGACAGCCACGTGGCGAAGGGTGTGGCTACAAAAGGGTGAAGAACACAGGTGTGCCAGCTTCCATGGGCGGTGGGCTTTCTGCCCCTCGACTTCAAAGGAATCCTTCCAGAAGCGCGGCTGGGGCCTGTGTGGCCGGCCGGTTGGAAGGGTGGCCCTGGGGGTGGAGTGCAGAGCTCTGTGGAAGTGAACCTTCGTGCAGTGTGCAGAGGTGGAGTGTGGAGCTCTGTGGGAGTGAACCTTCGTGCAGTGTGCAGAGGTGGAGTGTGGAGCTCTGTGGAAGTGAATCTTTGTCTAGTGTGCAGAGGTGGAGTGTGGAGCTCTGTGGGAGTGAACCTTCGTGCAGTGTGCAGAGGTGGAGTGCGGAGCTCTGTGGGAGTGAGTCTTTGTCTAGTGTGCAGAGGTGGAGTGCAGAGCTCTGTGGGAGTGAACCTTCCTGCAGTGTGCAGAGGTGGAGTGCGGAGCTCTGTGGAAGTGAGTCTTCGTGCAGTGTGCAGAGGTGGAGTGCAGAGCTCTGTGGAAGTGAGTCTTCGTGCAGTGTGCAGAGGTGGAGTGTGGAGCTCTGTGGGAGTGAGTCTTCGTGCAGTGTGCAGAGGTGGAGTGTGGAGCTCTGTGGAAGTGAGTCTTCGTGCAGTGTGCAGAGGTGGAGTGCGGAGCTCTGTGGAAGTGAGTCTTCGTGCAGTGTGCAGAGGTGGAGTGCGGAGCTCTGTGGAAGTGAGTCTTCGTGCAGTGTGCAGAGGTGGAGTGCGGAGCTCTGTGGAAGTGAGTCTTCGTGCAGTGTGCAGAGGTGGAGTGCGGAGCTCTGTGGGAGTGAACCTTCGTGCAGTGTGCAGAGGTGGAGTGCAGAGCTCTGTGGGAGTGAACCTTCGTGCAGTGTGCAGAGGTGGAGTGCAGAGCTCTGTGGGAGTGAGCCTTCGTGCAGTGTGCAGAGGTGGAGTGCAGAGCTCTGTGGGAGTGAACCTTCGTGCAGTGTGCAGAGGTGGAGTGCAGAGCTCTGTGGGAGTGAACCTTCGTGCAGTGTGCAGAGGTGGAGTGCGGAGCTCTGTGGGAGTGAACCTTCGTGCAGTGTGCAGAGGTGGAGTGTGGAGCTCTGTGGGAGTGAGTCTTCGTGCAGTGTGCAGAGGTGGAGTGCGGAGCTCTGTGGAAGTGAGTCTTCGTGCAGTGTGCAGAGGTGGAGTGCGGAGCTCTGTGGAAGTGAGTCTTCGTGCAGTGTGCAGAGGTGGAGTGCGGAGCTCTGTGGAAGTGAGTCTTCGTGCAGTGTGCAGAGGTGGAGTGCGGAGCTCTGTGGAAGTGAGTCTTCGTGCAGTGTGCAGAGGTGGAGTGCGGAGCTCTGTGGAAGTGAGTCTTCGTGCAGTGTGCAGAGGTGGAGTGCGGAGCTCTGTGGAAGTGAACCTTCGTGCAGTGTGCAGAGGTGGAGTGCAGAGCTCTGTGGGAGTGAACCTTCGTGCAGTGTGCAGAGGTGGAGTGCGGAGCTCTGAGGAAGTAGTGTGCAGAGGTGGACTCTCCTCTGACGCGTGCTCCGAGCTCTGCAGGTGACTCTGCAGGTCGACGTCCTCAGGAAGTCCCACTTCAGTGTGCCCTGGAGGACTGGGTCCCCACGTTGTTCTAGATCTTTGGTCACACAGTTCTACTCTAACTGGACACAGCTTTGGCCACGCAGAGCGTCCTGGGCTCTGTGGTTTGTAGGTCTCCCACAGCATCCCTTTCCCTTAGAGTTAAAGAGGACCTGGCAAGGATTTCTCTGTGAACCTAAGAAAAAAGTGGTGAGTGGTGTGGCAGACGGGGGCCTTCGTGTGAACTGCTGCATGGAGTGGGCTGAGGAAGAGTGGGAGAACGCTGTCTTGTTCACGGCGCTTTGTTCTTGTTTTTTAACCACTTGAGCAATATTTTACTAAACTGTTTCCATGAACACAGTCTGCCACGCAGGACCCTGGTTGAAAAGAATCAGCTGTCGTATGGCCGGGGAAGGGAAACAGGCTTGGAAGCCAACAGGCTTGCGTCCTGACTTCTCACAGACTTGGCGAGAAGTCACGAGGCTCCTCGGTGTGGCTGTCCTGGGTTCCCGCGCATTGTCTGTTAGAAGGCACAGCGGTGGCCGGGGCAGCCGGCTTTTCATTCTGCAGAATGAAGATCAAAAAGCACTAACTGATTTGCTATTAGACACCAGCTTCCCAAACCGTATATATTTTTTAATTTTTCTTTAAGACAGTGACATTTTGAAATATAGAGGCTGATGATTCGAGTAGTGCGTTGTGTGGTACTTGTGATCCCATCTTAATAATATAATCTTTCTCTCCTTGCCCTGACAGACAGGCAACTTTATTCTCCACACTCAACACATGTTCAGCCCAATTTATTTTGAGAAATAATGTTCCATGTTCGGTTATTAATTTGGGAGTTATCATTTTTTCTGATCATCTACCACACTTTTAATTTGCCGGTCAAATTTCATTAGCTTACCAATGAAGAAAGCAAAAAATGATGGGCTTCCGTTCCCCTTTCCCTTTGAGAATGTAATTATAGAGCAACATTCACATTTGTTCTGGGAAAAATTAATCTATTTTTAGCTGTAAATTATATGCTTGAGATAAATATAAAATTAGCAGGCAGGATTGGCTGCGCACTGCCAGCCAGGCAGGAGTGTCACTTTGCGTCCTGTGTTAGGCGCCGTCCAAACAAATTGACGCCCGCACTCCCTGCGCCCCAGACCAGTCGCGGGAACTAGTTCCGTGAGAGCCACGAAGTCTTTCTTTTCCAGGTGTGGTACAATCAGAAGAGCTTCCACTCCCTGCCTTCCTGCGTGAATCACCTCAACAACCTTGTGCTCTGGCGGCATTTGCCCCCTGCTGCGGACTGGCGACAATACGGTACTGTTACTGCCCACAAAGCAGAGAAGGCTTTGACCCTGGGAAGAGCTCCGGGCAGTGGGAAGTCCCCAGGGGGCAGCCGTCCGTCTGTGAACACGTAACAAGGTGTAGGCGCCCTCTGCCTCCACAGACACACGCACGTTAAGGGTCTTTACCTTCTTGGATCTTGACCTCATCTGTAAGATGAGGGGAATGAAAGGCGACTGAGAATTCTCTCCTAAAGCTATTTCATTCTGAACCTCAGTGTATTACAAAAGCAAGATAATTCCACTTGCTGGGCTCCTGTGGGTGGAATACTGGAGTAGAGAACATGGACCACCCTTCCGCTTGGTCCCTGGGAAGGGGTCTGTCAGGCTCTGAGTGATGGGGAGCCCTCAGCTCATCAGTTATCTGTGTCAGTCCCTGATTCATTACCTACGCGTTCTGATTTTGCTAAATGGCACAGGTCCATTTCTGGAATGCAGAGTAAATGTGTTGGTTTAAGGGGATCTTTGTTTCTCTTTGGTGGGATAACTTATAATTTATCAAATTAATTCAGTTTCTTAAAGGAAGGAGAGGTAAAAGCAACAGCAGGCAATAGCCCTCATAGTTTATTCAAAAATACATTTGGGGAAGCATTAATTCACATAAAATCAATATAAACAATAACTCTAATACATTATCACTTTACTTCAACCTTACCTCATTTTTCCATAGCTGTTTCCCGTATATACCAATTTTTTAGTAAAATAAATGTGATTTCGTGTGGCACTGCGATTATTTTAATATGAGGATGGATAACATAAAAATGGAAACCGTGGCTACGGGAAGCACAAAGGAAGTATACAGTCATCCAGAGTAGGGTCACAAAGTGACATTCCTTAAAGTGTCCAAAATGTACCAGACATTTCATTAGGCATTTCATAAGCATGGTCTCATTTAATTTGCATATCCATTTTGTGCAGTAGGCCAGTTCACCCACTTCACTGATCAGAAAGCTGATGTTCAGACGCCCCCCTGCCAGGTGTGGCTGTGGGCACGTGGAGCATGGGGGTCCTGGTTTGACGAGCATCTTCATGACTGGGACTTCAGACCAAGAAGGCACTTGTGGGCATCAGCAGTGTGGCCCGTGGAGGGTGGGCAGACGTTTAGTCGATGGCAGGAAGTCGTCTGGGTCTTAGCAAGAGAAGTCTCGGTGCAGGTTTAGGCTGCATTCAAGCGCAGTTTGACCTCGTTATTGAGTCGGAGATAGCATTTTTGAGCTCTCAGGAACGGTTGTTTGAGGTCAGATTCTGCGTGGCCTTGACTGACAGGGCGGGGATGGTGGGCTTCGATAGTCAATAGGTGGTTTACCGACATTTGGGAACAGGAACAACATGAGCAAAGTGATATTTAAAAGGAAGGATCTGGAAGCCGTGTTGCAGTTGGGGAGGGCTGGGGGCAGTGGTCGGCCTGCTGGAAGGATGCTGCTCACGGAGATAACGCAGGCAGGGCCAGGGTAAATCTGGAGGAAAAAATGCAGAAGTTCAGGTAGATAGGGAGGAAGGCCGGGGCACTGAGGCGGGGATAGGAACGCCTCTGAGAGCCAGAGATGGAAATCTGAGCTCTTTAGATTGAGTGACTTCCCTTTCAGTCCTGGTGGCATTATGAGAAATGTCAGGAGAAGTGATGTCTTCACAGGGGGCAGGTGATCGGTGCAGGGTCGCAGCTGCTGGTTCAGTTCACACACATAGACGAGAATGTGCAGTAGGACTCAGGAAAATGGATGCGACAGTTCAGTAGAACATTTATGAGTAACCTTAACGCTAACCTTAATAACGAATGATTAAGGTGGCCGGTACGCGAGATCTTCCATGGGTTGGGTAAAGACACAAAGGAGGGGGGCGACAGACAGGACCCTGGGAAGTGGACACGGAGCTGCAGCCCTTGAGGTGGGGAGACCTTGGCCCAGAGGCCAGGAGGGGCAGCAGTCAAACAGCAGGGCAAGAAAAATGATGATTGATGGCAGAGTCCCCGGAAGAGTGAGCCGGCAGGGACTTGGCTGGTGACCTGCAGAGGGCAAGTTTGGCAGAGCTGCAGGGGTGGGAAGAAGAGCAGAGGGATGAGGCACAGAATTGTGTGGAGGACCTGGGAAACTAAACAGACTTTGCTTTGTAGAAGTGTGGCTGTGAACAGGGGGGAGAGGAGAAGCAGGCTGTGTGCATATGCGCGTACAGGTGCTTGGGGTGAAATAAGGAGCAATGGTAGGTCGTGATAGGCCGTGCAATGAGAGGCATGTTTTGAACAATCGAGAGGAAGGAAATTAATGGCTTGAGACCTAGAAAGAGGCAGAGAAAGGATCTGAATGCATGGATTTATTTTGAAAAGGGGAGAATGTCTTCCCATGACACGGGGGCGGGGGGGGGGGAGGAAACACGGCATTTCAGAGGAAAGTCGCACGATTTCATGCCAGCTGGCTATGACCTCTGAAGAGTCGGGATGCACACTTGGCACAGCAGTTAAGTTGCTTTGTGGGACCCCCTTATCCCATGCCAAGTGCCTGGTCAAGTCCTAGCTTTTCTGCTTTTCCCTCCAGCTTCTTGCTTACGCATGCCCTGAGAGGCAGCAGGTGGTGGCTCAAGTATTTTGGTTCTTGCCACCATGTGGGAGACCTGGATGAGTTCTGGGCTCTTGGCTTCCACCTGTCCCAGTCCTAGCAGTTGCAGGCATTTGGTAACTGAACCAGTAGAAGGAAGATTTTCCTCTTTGTCTTTCAAATAAAATGAAAATATATTTTTTTAAGAAACAGGTAAAACCATTGGGACAAAGATGGATATGAATAATTAAGGAAATAGAAAAAAATTGGATAACCTGTGATATGGAAATTATATTTCAGAGAGAGCAGAGAACTATGGCTGGAGGTCACAGAGATGCACAGGTATCCTACCAGACTTCTTCAGTGGACGCAGTCAGCGACCAGTCAATGCAGAGACATTATTTGTTCTCTTAATGGCTTGGAATTAACTCGGACGAAATGGGTGATGTTTGGTGGCATTAAAACAGACAAAAACTGAAACGTCTTATTGCAGGTTGCAGTTTGGAGACGGAGTCAGATGCAGCGAGCGGAGCTCCTGCTTGGAGAGGGTCTCAGGGTCTGGAGTGGATATTGCTGGTGGGTGGGGAGCAGGAGGTAGGAGGTGAGAACGATATGGCTCAGGAAATGAAGTCGGAGTTTGAGATCGATGAAGTATAAAACATGTTGTTCATACAGAACAGGCGACAAGAGCGGATGGCACTGAGGTGGAAGCCTTGAGGAGCAGCAAAGTGGGCGTGGGAATCTCAGGTGATCTCAGGAGGAAATGGAGGTGCAGAGAACAGAGGCTGTTGAGGAGAACGGGGACGCAGGACACCTGGTTAATCACCTTAGTAAGGTGACCTGGGATACAGGAACACGAAGAGTTTGATGACTCCCCAGCTGCAGAATAGAAGTATAATCAAATATAATATATATAATCTATATAATCAAATAGAATATAATCAAATACCATGGTAACTGTAGAGGGGCTAAGCAGATTTTCATAAAAAATGCAAAAAAGATAGAAATTACAAAAGCATCAGAAAATTTTGACCTGAAATATATAACAACTGAGTTGAAAGATTAGCTATCTGGATTTAACAGCAGACCTAAACATGCAGGAGGCAGGCTCAGTAAACTTGTAGATCGGTCATCTGGTATTATTGAATCTGAGGAATGGAAGGAAGAGTGAGCAGGATCTAAGATTTATGAGATCCCTCAGGTGGATCGAGATGATCAATGTGCGCATTGTGGAAGTCTCAAGAGTGAGTAGAGAAAGGGCAGAAGCATTACCAGAAGAAACAGTGGTCAAAACTCTCCACATTTGAGGAGAGACATGGACGTGTCAATACGACAGCCTTAGTGGACTCAAGTAGGATGGATGCAGCAGGCCCACACCTTCTAGCCAAAGCCAAGGCAAGCGTGGAATGCGGCAAGAGAAAAGTGACTCGTCACATACGCGGGATTCTCATCAGAGGCCTTAGGGAGCAGAAGGCAGTGGATGACACAGATGTTTCAAGTACTGAAAGGAAAAATTGTCAACCAAGAATTCTATTGGGCAAAACCATACCTTGAAAAATGAGAAAAATTAAGAGATTTCTGGATGTCTGATTAAATGTTTTGAAGATTTATTTATTAATTTGAGAGGCAGGGTTACAGATGCAGAGAGAGGTGTTCAGCCGCTGGTTCACTCCCCAGGTGGCCGCAGTGGCCGGAGCTGGATTGATCCAAAGCCAGAAGCTTCCTCTAGGTCTCCCACGTGGGTGCAGGGGCCCAAGCACTTGGGCCACCTTCTACTGCTTTCCCAGACCACAGCAGAGAGCTGGATTGAAAGTGAAGCAGCTGGTACTCAAACTGGTGCCCATATGGGATGCTGGCACTGTTGGTGGAGGCTTAACCTACTATGCCACAGCACCAGCCCTGATTAAATACATTTTAAATTAGAAAATCTTAGAAGAGACAGAGGCATTTTATAAAGATGAAAGAGTCAAATCACCAAGATGATATACCAGTTACGAACATGTGTACCAAATGCCAGAGTTCCTAAATCTATGGAGAAACTACAGAATTAAAGGAAGACATAGGCCAACGCCACGGCTCAATAGGCTGATCCTCCACCTAGCGGCGCCGGCACACCGGGTTCTAGTCCTGGTCAGGGCGCCGGATTCTGTCCCGGCTGCCCCTCTTCCAGGCCAGCTCTCTGCTGTGGCCTGGGAAGGCAGTGGAGGATGGTCCAAGTGCTTGGGCCCTGCACCCCATGGGAGACCAGGAGAAGCACCTGGCTCCTGGCTTCAGATCAGCGTGGTGTGCCGGCCGCGGCGGCCATTGGAGGGTGAACCAACGGCAAAAGGAAGACCTTTCTCTCTGTCTCTCTCTCACTATCCACTCTGTCAAAAAAAAAAAAAAAAAAGATTTATTAAAAAAAAAGACAGACATAGATACCTCTATAATAATATTAGGGATCTTA